GGAAGATAAACTACCTTAGTCAATTCTTGGCTATCTGTATGTAATATGCTTGTCATAGTTCTATGACAAATGTTGCTGAGTTTAATACTAATTAACTAAAACTGGGTGTAACACATATCAATAGGCAAGCACACGTTGTAGAAGTAGAGAAACTTCAATTTGCTTTTTTGTTTGATTAGACAAGTAAATATGCCTAAGAATAGGTGAACACGTTTGTGGATGTGATGTGACAAACCTGCTGGTGCGCTTAGAAATCATACTGTATGATGCCCTTTAGATACTATGGAGAAAAAAAAACAAACAAAAAACTTATTTTGGTTGTTGGAAACATGATTGTGCAGGTGCCAGCTATTTGAGAGAAGTGCAGTATTTTAACTGGAGATTAATAACTTCATCCTACCATCTAGAGTGCTTTTTCACTAATTTCAAAGGCCATCAGTGGATGCAGTCTTGCAGTGAACAATGACAGCATAGTGCTGAAGCTTGGAGACTCACTGTATCTGGAAGTAGAACTTTGAAATCAAAGGTCACTGGGCTTTGATTAGTTTACAGGATACAGGATAAGTAAGGCATAGAAAAATTAGCTTTGTCTCATTGAAATCATTCCAAATTTAGTGGGGGAACCCATCTTTGTAGGCTATCTTTGACTGTTATCTATTTCCTCACACAAAAGAGACACTGGCCATTTGAGAGTAGTAGACAAAGCCACAGATTCACTTACTTGAAGGAGGATGGTTAGCTTTTCAGTACTGTGCATGCTGTATACCTACCTCCCTTAGCACTTTTCTTAGAAGAGGTACATGCATGTTGGTAGCTCGTATCAAAAGAGGTGAAGTAACTCTTTTTCTCAGTAAAAGCATTATGAGAATGAAAGACATTACAAATAACACACGTACAAGCAGAAGATATTCCTGGTTATGTCAGGAATGGTTTCTTTTTATTTCCTTCCATTGCTTTCATTTCATGAAAATGAGTTTTGCATTCATTAAAGATAGTGACTTTAGACCTTGGAATGCTTAAGTCTTTTTTTCTGGGAGACAGGGTTTTTGTTTTGTTTGTCTTTTAACCAGCAGGCAGTCGGTTTACTCAGAGCCACATCTGTGCCTTGGTGCTGTTGTGGCTTGATCAGCTAAAACAGTAGTTTAATCTGTCCTTCTGTCACACACATATCCACATGTAGTGCTTTCATTCCTCTGGTATAGTGTGCTGATTTGATTGATAGGATTTGTGGAGTCTTTGTATTAGAAGAGATGAAACACCAAAAAGCAGGCGATTGTGGTGTATTTCCTTACCTTGCCATCCTAGAGACAGACCTGAGCTATTTCAGAACGTGCTACCATGGATATCTGGAGTAACAATGATTCAAGTTCTTCTTCCTGCTGATCCTGAATTCTTCAGAATAACATGACTACAGTTGCTGTTTTTCTTTGTGTTCCACAGAAAAAGATGCTTTTTTACTGTTGTTTTAGTGGTTAGGCAATAAGCTGGATAATATTATTTTTAGAGTTGTGAGCTAGTGAATAACACTCTAATATCGCTATTAATGAAAGAGCTGAAGTTTGTATGTTAAGTTACAACTGAAGACCAGGAAAAAAAATATATTTTTTACATTGTCTGCATAGCTAACTTCATCCTTGGTATAATTCACTAAATAAAGATTTGCTCTTCAGAATCTCTTGGTGCACTGGGGAGTAAGTCTTTTTAAAATGAGTAACCTTACGCCTATTTTTATAATGCAGTAAAACTTGTAATGTTTATTTTTTATGTTATTTTCATACTAAAAGATAGAACGTATACACCCATTTATTATTGATTTATTGTTGTATTTTATATTTTTCTTTGGTATTTTTCTGGCTTGAAATTTCATGTAGAAATTAATGCCTGGCTTAGTAAGACGTTTTTGAGTTCAGAAGGCTGTGATCTTCCCATTTATACACCCATTTATTGTTGATTTATTGTTGCATTTTATATTTTTCTTTGGTATTTTTCTGGCTTGAAATTTTCCTTTAGAAATTAACACCTGGCATAGTAAGATGTTTTTGAGTTCAGAAGGCTGCGGTCTTCCAGATAACATGAGGATGCATTGTTTACTGTCTATAAAGAAAATCTGTTATAGTTGATTCTTGTGGAATACTTCAACAGATAAGACTGAAAGTAGGTGAACTCTATTTAGAAAATAGAGCTTTTGCCCTTGTGAAAGTGTAGAGACTTCAAAGAGGACAGGAAGTAAGTAGACCTCATTACAGTAATATGAATTACACTTGTATCAGATTGGCTGGAAAACAACTTGTGCTTGCATTTTGCTGCTGTTGTGCATTTCAATGACCATTTGCTCCATTAATATTGCAACTGAACTGCTACAAAGCAATTTGTAATCAGGAATCCAAAATCTAGCTAATGGCAATATTAGTCACACAATTTCAAGCTTTCTGTACTAAGTATCATTAATAGATATATGTATATACGCTGTTAAAGAATATGGAATGTATATGCTCTTAAAGCTATGAAATACCAATTTCAGTGTTGTGCAGTTTTGTACAACATTCAACCCTAATTACAAAGACTAATATTGGATTTAAATCAATTAAGTAATTCAATGATAGCTCAGATCCCAACTTTGTTGAATATGACTGCAAGGACTATAAATATGTCATGCCCTTGAAATTCATTGACGTTGTCTGGTAACTATTTGTTTGCTGAGAAAAATGCAAAATTTTAAAACGTTACAAAACTTTCTGCGGTTGTCTCCACATTTTATAATAGAGTCCTTTAGGTGCTGTTACTGCTGACTGCTATCTATGTCACTCAGAGATTTTTTCCAGACTCCAGGGGGAGGTTGGCTATTACAAGTTCTGTACCTAGCAGTTTAATTCTCCGTACCGGAGATAAGACAGTATCAAAACCAGAGTAGCTCTTGGTTTACCCAGGGCTGCACCTGCACAAGGCTCCTTCTTTCCCTTATATATATTAACATGTTGTAAAGAAACTAACAGAGCATGATATTTTTCTCAGTCTTGCACGTCCGTTACTCTGAGGATGTCCTGCCTCAAGGCATCGTAGCATTTTAATGGCAGTAGTTCTTGTTACCTGTTGTATAATGTGCCTCACACATACGGGCTAATTTGGTTATCATACTGTCTTCAAGTTGACATTACCTACAGAAATCATTCCTGCAGTTTTGTCTAGATATTGCTCTTCCTTTCTGTAAGTTATTGTACCTGTTATTTATTGTGGCTCTGTTTCACCAAGAGGTGGCTGCATGTTGATTGCAGGCTTAATGATCTTTTGATGTAGCAGAGCAATAGCGAAGAGTTTGCAAGGCAAGTTGTTTAATTCTCAGTTTGAAACATCATATTAATAGTATTTACAATTCAAGAGAAAGACATAACAGAATTCTAGGGTAATTGTAAAGGTGATTGTTATTTTAAATGAATTACTGATGACATGCAGCTGTCAGCCTATTTTCCTAAAAATGTCAGGGAGGTCTGATTATTTAAAAACTCTAAAGTAATTTTAAACAGAGAAAAAAGAAATCTAACCTAATGGCGTGACATTTTCATTATTATTTTATCTGGAAGAGAAATAGTAAAATCAAAGTATATGAAAAGAAGAATGATAAGACTTCAGTATAAATATCTTACAAGTTACAGGATTAGCTGCTAGTTGGGAAATCCAGTCATGTTTTATGCCTCACAGTATATGTTTGGAATAATAGGAAGGAACCTGCAAAGATCATTGAGACCCACTGCCTGACCTCTTGAGGACTAAGCAGGCATTCAAGCATGATTTTGAGGGCAGTCTTCAAATGCCTCCTGAACACTGGTGTGGGGCATCAACCA